AAGGGCCAGCGGCCGCAGCCCTTAGGCCACTTCCTGGGGGTGGCGAGGACCTCAGCAACCGCGGCTATAACTAGGAAAGGCGGAGGCGCCGGAGTTGGAAGTTCGGAGAGACTCCCAGCTGCTTCCATCAGAGCCCTGGGACCCTCCCGACTCAGACTGAGCGTGCATCCTCGGCGCCCAGCCGCTGCAAGGCGATTGGCCTTGCGCTCCGGTCAGGTCAGCAGCTCTGCCATCTCCTGGAACCCGCGCCCGGAGCCTGGCCTGGCCTCTTGACTGGTCTCTGGAGCCCAGTGTGGCCTCGCCTACGGCAACTACCACCTGCCTAGAAACTCAGTGGCTAAGCCCTCCCGAGTCTGTTCGGTGCTCGCCACCGTCATCTGCTGGTTGGATTCCGGAAACCCACTGTCTAAAGACCACGGAAAAGAATCGCTGACTGCGCAGAATCAGATACGTCTGGACTGAAAACTCCCTTCTCTCTAGCTGTCCTGTGCTCTGTTCATTTGCTCTCTTATCTTTGCGGGGATTTCTGTACCCTGAACGCCCCTATTACTACCCAGGAAGCTGGGGGTGAAGCTACGAACCGGTTACCTGTACCTGTACCTGGCCTCCCACCCATCGAATCTGAATTGTGATCACTCCATTCAAGACACACCGCCAGGATATTCTGCCTTTCCTTCTTCCCTGTCTTCTGTACCTCCCAAAATTTCCCCCCCTCCTGTCCCCTCTTCGCCCCCTTCCTTTGGGGGCCCCGTGACCCTGAATGTGGGGGGCACGTTATACTCCACCACTCTGGAGACCCTGACCCGCTTCCCAGACTCCATGCTAGGGGCAATGTTTAGAGCTGACACCCCTGTGCCTCCCAATGTGAACCCCCAAGCAGGCGGCCAATACTTCATTGACAGGGATGGCAAGGCCTTCCGGCACATCCTCAATTTCCTGCGGCTCGGCCGACTGGACCTGCCCCGTGGGTATGGAGAGACAGCCCTTCTGAGGGCTGAGGCTGACTTCTACCAGATCCAGCCCCTCCTGGATGCCCTTCGGGAGCTAGAGGCCTCGCAAGGATCGCCTGCACCCACGGCCGCCCTGCTCCACGCAGATGTAGACGTCAGCCCCCGCCTGGTGCACTTCTCCGCTCGCCAGGGCCCACACCACTACGAACTGAGCTCCGTCCAGGTGGACACCTTCCGCGCCAACCTCTTCTGCACTGACGCTGAGTGTCTGAGCGCCCTGAGGACCCGATTTGGTGTGGCCAATGGAGACAGGGCGGAAGGAGGCCCACATTTTCATCTAGAGTGGGCCCCCCGTCCGGCAGAACTCCCAGAAGGAGAGTACGGGAGACTGGGGCTGCAACCCTTGTGGGCTGGGGGACCAGGAGATCGTCGTCGGGAAGTGGTAGGCACGCCAGGCTTCCTGGAGGAGGTGCTGCGGGTGGCTTTGGAGCATGGCTTCCGCCTGGACTCTGTCTTCCCGGACCCTGAAGACCTACTCAACTCCAGATCTTTGCGTTTTGTTCGCCACTGAGGGTGTTGCCCTCCCGTTTTGATTGTGGGGAGGACAGGGCATGGGAGAAAGAAGGAAGCCCCTTTCTAGCTCGGGTGTGGGAGCTGTGAAAGTCAGGCGTCCCACTGCACCTGACAGGAGCACAAATGTGGGTGGGGATTCCCGAACCCGAGCCTATGAAAGCGCGCAGTGATGGTTCAGGGACCTGGATTGGTGCTTATCTTGGGGGATGAAGGCACCAAAGGTTCTCTGGCTTGTTTGTGGCCAAAGCTGGGACCTCTGGTAACCTCCTTGGTTGAAGATCAGTATTCAGGGGATCTAGAAAAGTGAGGCACACTTCTGCCCAAACTAGGCTCAGCAGAACCTGGGAGGGAAACTGAGGTCTGAGGGAGAGGGAAAACTGCATTCTTCTATTTGGTCTCCTTGACTGTGGCTTCCTTTCCAGGGCTGGGCGGGCTGGCCAAAGAGAGACCAAAACACTCTGGAACATAAGAAGGTGGAGTTCTTTGCTGTGTACCGAGCTACTTATAGACAGGCCTCACCCCACCCAGGTTGATATCAGGAGTTAGGAGAATCCCCATTGAGCAAGGGGGCTGGAACACTTCTCTGAAATTCCAAGAGGAGCCAAAGGATCCTCTCTCGTTCGTTGAGCTGGCCATAGGAAGGAAGCCTGTGTCTTTTTGTGTCCTGGTCTTATTTCCTTTATGTATATGTTATTGTATCAGCCAATGTGTGTGACTGATGCGTGGGTCCCTGGCATCCTGGATCACATCTGTGTTGCTGACTCCTATGTCTACGTGATGGTCCTTCTGTGGTTTCTGCATGTCCAGGCCTGTGTGGGGTTGCCCAGAAACTGTTTGGGCACAGGCATATCTGTGGTATGTCTGTGAATAGATGGAGATTTAGTTTAATCACAGGGTGTGTGTGTGTGTGTGTATTTGTGTATGTGTGCATTTATGTGCCCACATGACCACGTAGGCAGGAGAGGCCTGTCTGGGTTTGAGTCACTAGGATCTTCCTGGGAGAGGTAATGGAAGTCACTGGGCTTAGCTGGGCCTCCGAGACCTGTAGGGAACTCTTGGTTGCCGAGGCAACCATTGGCCTGTTGCTAGGAGATAGTCAGGGAAGGCCCAAGGCTGCCCTAGGCAGAGACTAGAGATGAAGAGTTTAGGAGAGTGGGGGAGGATATGGGAAGTGATGGGATTTCTGGGACCCTGATTGGCTGGGATAAACATGTATGACTTCTACACTAGGGGGAATTGCTCATTATTTATCACTGATGACTTACAAGAAGAAAAATAAAATTTCTTTTGGAACCACAAACTTGTAAAGGTTACTGTTTCTTTTATAACAAAAGCCCTGTTCCAGTGGCATTGTTTCAGAACACTCTAGAACATCCCAAGCCAAGGGCTAGAACCAGGATTACAGTGTATTCTGAGGCCTTTCTAACCCAGGTGGGCTGAGGTCCCACCCCATTCCCCCAGCAGGCTTCATGTGGGTGCTGGCTTTAGGTGGGGTTTTCCTGGCAGTGGGCCAGGCCTGTATCTTTTGTCGCCTGCCAGCCCATGACTTGCCAGGCCGCCTGGCTCGGATCACCAGCGGAATAGATGCCCGGTGGAAGGATTGGGCTGTCCCAGATTTCTCAGCCTTTGCCTTAGGTAAGACCATCAAGGGTGAGGCCCCAGACTTGTATCAAACAAGTCATTGACTCAGTCCACAGCCCTCTCTGGCTTCTCCCTCTGGAAGAATTCTGGCTCTCAGGAAAGCAGAAGCGACCGCAAAATTCTCATCAGTGATAGGAAATCACTGGTCCTTTCTCATTTCCACAGATGAGCTAACCATGAACAAAGTCACAGAAAAGACTCACAGAGTCCTGAGGGTGATAGGTGAGGTCAAAGGGAAAACCTGGAACTTGGGAGGACACCAAGGAGAGGAACGGGAGGCAGGGCAAGGTGGAGGGCCGACTGGAGGGCTGATCAGGGACAGAACTGGGTGTAGAAGTGTGTTGAGCTGTCACTGCCGAGGCTGGGGGCAGTATGACTGTCCTTTTAACCCCCCAGAGATCAAAGGGTCCCTCTCTTCACTTCTTCCCTACTGGCAATGGCTTCAAAAGACCAAGATCCCCCAGTACACCAGGGAAGGTACTGTCAGGGAAGGACATGGCGTTGGGGATGCCTAGTGACGTGGCAATGTGGTGGGGGGCTGAGCAGCTCATCCACCCGTGCTCTCTTTGGTCTCGTATTTCAGGTCTCTGCGCCCCCGCCTGCCGTGAGTAGAAATCGGAAGGGGTAGCCTGGACGGGCGGGCGTGGGGCGTCCAGGGTAGTCGGGAGAGCTGCCCTGCTGGGGGAGGAAGGCGGGGAGCTGATAGAGTGGAAGTCTGGGCTTCCCCCTCCAGCGCACTTCCTTCTGTCTCCGGCAGGGGGCAGCACCATCCTGTACAATTGCTCCACCTGCGAGGGCACCGAGGCGCCCTGCTGGCCCCGAAAGCGCTGTCTCCCAGGTCCTTACTCCCCACCTCGCCCCGCCCTGCCCGGATCCCTGAGTCCTCTGGGTTCCCCAGCATCGACGGGTGTAGTCCCCGGGATCAGCCATGGCCTCTTGTGTTCCCTATAGGAAGTCATGATCTGTGGAAAGCCAGGATTGTGCTCTCCTCGATCGTCGGAGCTGCCCTGCTTCTGGGTGGCCTGAGCCTCCAGGTGGAGTAAGTTGGAGGGTAAACAGAACAGAACAGCCTGTGGCCCGCCCAGTATCTCCCTCCCCCCCTCCCCCCCCCCCCCCCCCCCCTCAGCCTCCTTCCTGTTCTGTCTCCTCTCAGGGCCCTCTACCTCAGGGCAAAAGATGACTTGTGAAGATGCAGACAGCCTCTTCACCATCGGCCCTAAAGAGTGTGTACCCAATTTTCCCACCTCCCTTGGGAAGGGGGTGGGGTGGGAAACAAGCCACCATTTAGTACCAGCTCTACAGGCTCAAGTCTTTTAGACCCCAAATTCCAGACTTTTCAGCAACTCAATCCCAGAGCCAGATGGCCTCCAGAAACCCAGACCCCCCCCCCCAAAGTTCCTCCCCTTCAGACCTCCACCAATCAGACAGCAGTGACCAATGCCAGGAAATTATCTACAGAAGGAAAGAATCCTCTACACACACCACCAGCACTCCCACACCCCCTCTGCCCATTCTGGGAAGCTGCCCTGGGCCCTCCTGTGACTGATTGGGAATCCGGGAATGAGAGTTCTGAAAAACTCCCTCCCTCTGGGGTGAGACCACATCAGTCAGGCTGCTGGCACACTGTCCCTCCATTGTGTTACTGTTGTGTAGCCCTGGCCTCCCTGCCTGCTGGGTCCAACCAAACTTGCTGTGTGATGCCTTCTACCCAGCCTGGCCTCTCTGTAACTGGGGAGGGCTAAAGATTCTCAGTGTAACAGGGCCTTTTTTTTTTTGGTCGGTCGTGGGGTTTGAACTCTGGACCTGGGTGCTGTTCCTGAGTTTTTTTTTCCTCAAGGCTAGTGCTTTACTTCTAGTACCACAGTGATGATAATTGTTGCCTTTTGGTTGATAATTGGAGGTCGAGTCTTATGGACTTTCCTGCTCAGGCTGGCTTCAAACTGTGATCCTCAGACCTCAGCCTCCTGAGTAGCTAGGGTCACAGGCATGAGCCTGTGCACTGGTCCAGCTGCACTGATTACTTTTGAGATAAGGTCTTGCTCCCAGCTCCAGGATGAGCCTAGAATGAAACATCTATTTTGTGGGAGCTGAAATGACAAGTGTATTCCCTAACTCTAGCAGCTTCCCCCATTGAGATAGACTCTCCCAGACTTTTCTGTCCAGGTTAGCCTAGAACTTCAATTCTCCTGACCTCAGACCCCTGATACCTGGGATGAAAGACATCTATCACTGTGCCTAGCTATTGGTTGAGAAGGGGTCTTGTGTGTATTCCTAGGCTGACCTTGAATTGTGATCCTTCCTATCTCAGCCTCCTGAGTAGCTAGGACTACTGGTATGAGTGCCAAGCTTAGAGACACTTTTTATTGTGTTTGGGGTGTGTTGGTATGTGTGTGGGGGTGTGCACACTGGTCCTGGGGCTTGAATTTAGGACCTGAGCACTGTCCCTAAGCTTTTTTGCTCAAGGGTACTTCCATTTCTGGTTAATTGGAGGTAGAGTATTGTAGACTTTCCTGCCCTGGCTGACTTTGAATGGCAATTCTCAGGTCTCAGCCTCCTCCTCCTCCTCCTCCTCCTCCTCCTCCTTCTTTTTGTTGTTGTTGTTGGTCGTGGGGCCTGAACTCTGGGCCTGGGCGCTGTCCCTCAGCTTTTTAGCTTAAGGCTAGCACTCTACCACTTGAGCCACAGTGCCACTTCCGGCTTTTTCTGCTTATGTGGTGCTGAGGAATCAAACCCTCATGCATGCAAGGCAAGCACTCTACCACTAAGCCACCTTCCCCAGCCCCTCAGCCTTCCAAATAGCTAGATTACAGGCATGAGCCATGGGCACTCAGCTTGTTTTGACTAGGGCTGGTAGAAACCAGAGTTGCTGCTAAATAAAACACACAGCAAAATCAACACAATGAATTATCCTGTCCAAATGTCAACAGTTCATGATTGAGAACGCCTTGTGCTGATCCTCTGTTTCAGGAGTTGATTTGGTGGTTGGGAGATGGAACACACAGAAAAGAGGCCTGTCACCAGCCACAACTCCCAGTCCAAGTACCTAGGCCCAAGAGAGATCTTAGCTCTCAGCCTAGTGGTTTTTAAACTGGTTACTAGAGATCCCAGGCAAGTGCCCTCTTCATAGTCTCAAAACTACTTATGCAGCCGGAGGTTGGTGGCGCGTACCTGTAATCCTAGCTATTCAGGAGGCTGAGATCTGAGGATCACAGTTCAAAGCCAGCCCAGGCAGGATAGTCCATGAAACTCTTATCTCCAATTAACCACCAGAAAACCAGAAGTGG